CTACCTCCGATAATCTATTCAATATATATCAAAGGCAGAGAATTAAAACTATGGAATCAATATAAATGTAATAGAGAGAGATACATTATGGTTTCAATATCATTCATACTTACTTGGAAATTAGTCCCAATGAATTCAATTAATCTTACTTCCATATGAATTACACTATAAATGTAATATAAGACACTTTTTCAGTATCCAATTTCCTTCCTCTACCCTTACATTCATAGCACACTGCATTTGTAACTCTTCAAGTAATAGTAATACTTGACCTTATGTTGTAGATCAGGGATGGGAAACATAAAGCTCTCCAGACATCCTTGGATTGTGGATCCTATCAGTCTTAACAAGGGATGATGGAAATTGCAGTCCACCCACATCTGGAGAGCCACAAATCCCAACCACTGAACTATACTGTTTCCCCAATTCACAATACCACCCTTACATTGCAATTTTCTGCAACATTCATCAAATAGCTAGTTTACCCAATTAGTTTCCTCTTTCTAGGACAGAGTTGCACAGTATATAGCCTGCCAGATGTTGACTTCCATTAGTCCCAGCCAACATAGCCAGCGGTGAGAGATCATAATAGTTGTATCTCCCTAAATGTTTTGGCCTATAAGCCAACAAGCTCTGTATCCTGACATGCCAATCTTTTTTCACCTCAGCAGGAATAGTGAGTTAATAATATCAATCTACCTGTTAAAATATTCCCCTTCATGGATCACTGACTTGCCTGGCGAAGGGGCTTATGTAGCACAATGAAGTTATGAGCTATCCTGTGCAGGAGCACCCAAGACAGTCAGGTCATAGCAGAGAGTTGTGACAAAAGGTGATCCATTGGAGAAGGAAATGGCAACCCACTCCAGTATCCTTGCCATGAAAACCTCATGGACAGTATCAACAGGCAAAGAGATATGATGCCAGAAGATGAGCCCCTCAGGTCGCAAAGTGTCCAGTGTGCTACTGGGGAAGAGCAGAGGACTAGTACTAGTAGCACCAGAAAGAATGAAGCGACTGAGTCAAAGCCAAAAGGACACTCAGTTGTGGATGTATCTGGTGGTGAAAGGAAAGTCTGATGCTGCAAAGAACACTATAGCATAGAAACCTGGAATGAAATATCAATGAATCAAGATAAGCTGGACGTGGTCAAACATGAGATGACAAGACTGAACATCGGCATCTTGGGAATCAGCAAACTAAAACGGACAGGGATGGGTGAATTTAATTCAGATGACAAGAAGAAATCCCTCAGAAGAAATGGAGTAGCCCTCATAGTCAATAAAAGAGTAGGAAAAGCAGTACTGGAATACAATCTCCAAAATGACAGAATGATCTCAGTTCAAATCCAGGGCAAAACATTCAACATCACAGTAGTCCAAGTCTATGCCCCAACCATTGATGCTGAAGAGGCTGAAGTTGACTGCTTCTATGAAGAGCCACAACACCTTCTAGAAATAATAGCAAAAAATAATGTCCTTATCAACATGGGGGGTTGGAATGCTAAAGTAGGAAGCCAAAAGAGAACCAGAACAACAGGCAAGTCTGGCCTTGGAGTACAAAATGAAGCAGGGAAAAGTCTGGCAGAATTTTGTCAAAAGAATATGATGGTGATAGCAAACACTCTTTTCCAACAACCCAAGAGACGACGCTACACATGGACATAACCAGACGGTTAACACAGAAATCAGACTATGTGCTCTGCAGCCAAAGATGGAGAAGCTCTATACAGTCAGTAAAAACTAGACCAGGAGCTGACTGTGGCTCAGATCATGAGCTTCTGGTTGCAAAATTTAGGCTTAAGTTGAAGAAAGTAGGGAAAAGCACTAGGCCACTCAGGTATGACCTAAATCATATCCCTGATAAATATACAGTAGAGGTTAAAAATAGATTTAAGGAATTAGATCTGATAGACAGAGTGCCTGAAGAACTTTGGACGGAGGTTCGCAACATTGTACAAGAGATAGCAACTAAAACCATCCCAAAGAAAAATAAATGCAAGAAAGCAAAATGGCTGTCTGAGGAAGCTTTACAAATAGCTGAGGAAAGAAGGGAAGCAAAAGGCAAGGGAGAAACAGAAAGATACAAACAATTGAATGCAGAATTCCAGAGAACAGCTAGAAGACATAAGAATGCCTGCTTAAATGAACAGTGAAAAGAAATAGAAGAAAAGAATAGAATAGGGAGGACCAGAGATCTCTTCAAGAAAATTGGAGATATGAAGGGAACGTTTCATGCAAAGATGGGCATGATAAAAGACAAAAATGCCAGGGACCTGGCAGAAGAGATTAAGAAGAGGTAGCAAGATTACACAGAAGAATATACAAGAAAGATCTTAATGTTCCTGATCACCATGGTGGGGTGGTCACTGACCTCAAGCCAGACATCCTGGAATGTGAAGTCAAAAGGGCCTTAGGAACTCTTAGCAACAACAAAGCTATGGAGGACACAGTATTCCAGCTGAGCAATTCAAAATCTTAAAAGACAATGCAGTTAAAATGGTACACTCAATATGCCAGCAAATTTGGAAAACTAAGCAGTGGCCACAGGATTGGAAAAGGCCAGTTTTCATTCCAATTCCAAAGAAGGGCAATGCCAAAGAATGTTCAAACTACCGCACCATTGAACGCATTTCACATGCTAGCAAAGTGATGCTCAAAATCCTACAAGCTAGGCTCCAGCAGTATGAGGACCAAGAACTACCAGAAGTACAGGCAGAGTTTCAAAGAGGGAGAGGAACTGGAGACCAAATTGCCAACACATGCTGGATCATGGAGAAACCTAGGGTTGAGGCCTTTGAATTGTGGTGCTGGAGAAGACTCCTGCCAGTCCCTTGGACTGCAAGATCAAACCAGTCAGTCTTAGAGATCAACCCTGACCGCTCTTTAGAAGGCCAGATACTGAAGATGAAACGCAAATACTTTGGCCACCTAATGAGAAGGAAGGACTCCCTGGAGAAGACCCTAATGCTGGGAACAATTGAGGGCAAAAGAAAAAGGGGATGGCAGAGAATGAGGTGGCTAGATGGAATCACTGAAGCAGTCAGTGTGAGCTTAAGTGGACTCCGGGGGATGGTGGAGGACAGGAAGGCCTGGAGGAATGTTGTCCATGAGGTCGCGGATGCGACTTCGTGATTAGCATAGCATAGCATTAACATTCTGAGATCATATATGTAAAGTGCTATGAAAACCCCTGAACATTATAAAGTCCCTCTTCTGGTCCAGCCAGCTTAGAATAGTATACTCTGATGGACAGAAACTCTGCTGCTTCTCAAAAGTTTCTAGTCCTATTTCACGTATTTTGGACATATTTAGCACACTATATTTCTGAATAAAGCTGGGACCTCTGGGAAGAAGCAAGCGATCAAAGATAGCAAAAAATATAATACCAGAAGTCAGATCCTGCTCAACTACACCCTTCCCCGCCAGTGCAAAATGATCTTGCTTAGTTATGTTTTGACTGATAATGTCATATTGTGGTATAATTTATGGATTTCCACTTTACTAGTATGCTATATGGGAGTGATTAATATTTCAGGTTTACAGTGCAATTCTCTATACGTATATTCTTTAATCCTAACTTGCACCATAATATTTACTCCCAAATAAATAGGTTTATTTATAAGGAACACAAATAATCCTATATACTAATAACAAATTCATTTCTCCATGTGGATCATGTAGCTGAAATGGCTCCATCCAAACGTAAGAGCAAAAGAGATTAGCAGACTTGGGAAAATCACTAGTTTTCTTGAAGAGCAAACTGTGGAGAAGGAGTAGGGAAACAACACAAAAACAGCTAAATGAAAATTAAGCTAATTTAGTGGTTATGGAATACTGACTGACGGGACTGTAGGGGAATGAAAAGCAGCAAAGGGGGAGGGAGGAAGCGCACTGGAGTATGTTGGGAGAAAACATGGCAGAGGGTGGCTGGCACCACGAACAGGAGCAGTCCTCTGCAACACTTGGTTGCTAGTCCTGCTGGTAAATATATCATTTGGAAATTCTTATTCTAAGTGCGAAATTGCTCTTCAAAGTTATCATGTGACAGCTTCTTTGGAAATGCAGATTTAAGAGCAGGAAATAATGTCTTTAAATGGCCAGATTGCTGGAGGGAACCCCACTTCCACCAATCCTAGTCGACATGGCCACTGTAGAAAAAAGTCCTTCATTTCTCGGAGAGCCAAAGGGTCCCCATCCTAACCATAAAGACACACTTTATTAGTAAATATAGCCCACTATGGGTCTATTCTGAGTAGCAGGGCTGGCCGAGACTGTTCTTCCCAGTCCTCCCAGCCCAGTTTTATTTCCCCCTCAACCCCAACGAAACACGTGCTCTGCTGAGTTTATGGGCTCACTGTTTGAACTGAATTCAAGTCAACGTATTCCAAAGTAAATGTATTTAGAGCTTGATCCCGGTGTATTTCTATTACGAGCTAATCCCCACGAAGTTAAATAAGGCTTACTTTCGAGAAAACAGACTTCTCCCAACCCGACCAGCTCCCCAGAACCTGCGCCCCAGTCTCAGAACGATGCACAACGCGTCCCGTTTCAGAAAGAGGCTCGCCCCACGGTTGTGATAAAGACGGCGAAACGTTTTAGAAAAATATTTACCACCCGCAGTCTAAAGGTACCTGATGCTCTTTCTTCTCAGTTAAAACTCCTCAGAGCTAGTCCCCTCCACGACAGGCACAAGAGAAAGACAATCTCAGTGGTCGAACACGAACAGGAACCACCTCCGCGACGCTCTGAGTGGCTGGGTTACATGCCACTTACGCGCACCCCCTCCCCCAACAAGCTTGTCGAGCGTTGGCCAACCTCTCTTTCAATCCTCTCGGCGGAGTCTCCGTCGGAGCCTCCGCCCCTGAAACCTCGTTCCAGCCGAGCCCAGCGATTAGCTGGTAAAGCCATCAGTCACTATCATCTCCCACGGTGGTTGGTCGAATAGGGAAAGAAGGGCGGTTAAGAGTTGTGGACGGGTGGGGGAGGAAAGGGGTGTGTGAGAGCCGTTGATGTTTACTGGGCGTGAGGGAAAGAGCCTTGTGAAGGAGCGGTGACTCGTCTCCGTCCTCAACTTCGGGCCCTGGAGCTGGACGCCCTCGAAAACGCTTTGCTGTTATGGGCCTTCGGAAGAAGAATAAGAGCCCACCAGTCCTCAGCCATGAGTTCGTTATCCAGAACCACGCGGACGCCGTGTCCTGCTTGGCTATGGGCCTCCTGCTGGGGCTCATGTTCGAGGTACGATGACTAGAGCCAAGGGAGGGGGAGGGAAGCTTCTTGGGCGAGCCACGCCCCTTTCTGCCCCCACTCGCCTCATGCGCGGAGGCCTCGCATTCCCTGAGTTCCGGTGTGTCCTCTTCTCGCTGTCTTCCTATTGATTGCTACTCGTAGCCTCACACTCCTTTACGTGCTCACGAGCTTCCCTAGTTAGCTTTTCGCAACAGTCGCAGTTTGTACCCTTACCTACGGCTCCAGCCACAAAAGAATCGAATGGGCGTGTTTGTTTGCCTCCTCTGATCCCCACCCCAACCACACACACCTTCTTTGCCGACAAGAAGCAGTCTTGAGAATGTCCCCCCCCTCCATAAGTCTTGCAAATCGGCGAAGCCACATGCCATACATTCTGTTGGGGGTGTCAAACCATATACCATCCCTTGGTGGTATAAGAGCTACAAGGCAACGTTGCTGTTTTCTGTAGCTGTACCATTCTTTAATGCAGTTTTAGTTAAGGTTGTCAAAGACCACTCCTAGTCGTGACTGTGTATTACCTGCAGTATCCAAACTAGTATGCCTTTTCTGTACCAGTTGCTGGAGAACACGGGTGGGAGGGGCTACTGCATTCATGCCCTCTAAGTGGGCGTCCTGTAGGTAGGTGGTGGCCATTGTGCAAATAGAATGTTGGTGGACTAGATAAGCCTTTGGTCTAATTGAGCAGAACTCTTCTATTGTTACAGTGAAGTAAGATTGTAAAGATGAATGCAACAACCTTGTGAAATCTTCTGTTGAAAGGTTTGGACCAGTGTCCACTGATCCCCTAAATAGGTCCCTTTCTATTTCCAAGGCCCCTGCCTGTGTCCCCATGTTGCATCCTGCTGGAAATTGTCATAGTACTAGAGTTCAGCCCTGCCTGCTGTTGTCACTGCTAAAGTTCATTCTTGGACCTTATGAAGAATAAATTGCTCTGGGCAGAAGCACTAATCACATTGTTTGAATAACTGTAGGGAGCCTAAGACATCAGACTTTACTTAGTGGGAAGACCTTACAGATATAGGTTAGTTTTTCTAGACAGCCAAAGCCTGGTAATGTCTTTCTTGAACACTGTCAAGCTGTGAAGCTTTGAAGGGTTTGCATAAGTTAGCAAGAAGCTAGCCATAGCATTAGAACACCACCAGTTGCTGTAGCACTGATTAGCTTAGCTGTGCTTTGTTTTAGTTCCACCATAGTGCCTTGGAGAGCTTCTGTGGCTCACAAGCATTTGGGGCCTGCAGTCCAAACCCGGGCATCTTTGTTCAGAAGCAAGAAGGTGGATCTAACAATATGCAAATTCTGTGTTCATCTGGTTACAGATGGTTAATACTGGTACAGGGAGCTTGTAAAGTACTATTTTTTGCAGACATCAGTTTCAGCCCAGGTAACTAATCTTGATGACAAGACACAAACTATGGTATCTTTGTTTAACAGTATCTCAGGTGGGAAGCACAAACAACACTGCATGTCTTCCTGATAATAGGCTTATAAACAGTCATGTCTCGGGGGTTTTCAAATTTGCATCAGCATATCCATTACCTGAATCATCAGTCCACAAAATGGAACTCAGAAAAAGAATGGTCGGAGTGAGTTTAACAATCTTAGAATTAATATGGATCAACTTTGCTATGGTTTTTATAATTTAGTCTCCCTGTTTTAAGTGGATTTTTAAGTGTATCATTCGAAAAGAGGAGGTGAATTCTCATACAGTTCTTTGGTGTATAGGAAATTTATAGAAAATGCTGCAATGCCTTTTGGTTTACTATTTCTTATAAGCAAAGGAATAGAACTTGTTAGAATGCTTTCTTCAAGGCACAATATCTAAGTTTACATTCCTTTGCTCCTCAGGAAGGCATAAACTCAATGAACTGGGCATTTTACAAACTTTTGACTAAAGCTTCCCATATATTTTAGAACAATTTTGAAGCTTTGGCTTTTGTTCTTCCTCATGCACTGTGGTGTTGCTCTTTATTTCCCACTAATTAATTAGAAATTTGTTGCTCGCTAAATTAGAAAATTAAGTTCATTCTGCATTCTGTAAGTGGAAAGAGTGAATTGATCAGGTCCAGCAACCTATCAGCTATTAAGAGTGTACAGTTATGCTATTGGCAAAGTGTTAGAGATTGCTTATGCTAGTGCAATATCATCATGTAAGCTGAGTGGCAACACTTGGATACTGCCCATGGAGGCTTTCATGTGCAATTTAGGAAAATGCAAAATGGAAGGTATTTTTCTACCTTGAAATGAGCTGCCTACTGCTGAAGATGGACTAAGAGAGGGTCCTTTTGCCTTTCAGACTGCTTTTGCCTCTATTGGAAATTGTTTTCACTTTTTAAAAAAAGCAAAACAAATGATGAAGAATTATAGTTATGTAATTGAGGATATGCAGACCTCTTATGTGTACTCCTGTATCAAAAATAGTGTGTGACTAGTAGGCTCTGGAAATGCATAGTCTCTACACTTTAGGCCCTGAGGTTACCTATGGTTAGACACTGGATACATGACACAATAGCCTGGTATGGGCTTATTTAACTCATACTGATGAGATGTATGGGTGGAGGGTATGTGCCATATCCAATATCTGCTTGAGTTGTCATGAAAGTCCATTGTCTCTTTTGAGGTTTTAGCTCTGTATAAGCCATGTTCACTGTATTTGCACAAGTGGGGGTTGCAATACCCATGGGCATTGTAGTTTTTTGTGGGTTAAATTTTCTAGGACAAGCCATAGAACAGGTGGCCAAACCAAGGCTCAGGAGCCACATGCAGCTCTTTGAGTTTATTTTGCAGCTTCCTGCTGCAGATACCCATGGTGCCCACTTGTGGCTCTCAAACATATGAAATTTATCATATATGGCTCTTCTGTTGATCAAGTCTGGCCACCCGTACCATTGAATGTTGTCAAAGCCAAGGCATTATCTCTGCATTTTTGTTGATCTAAGCCAAGTTTGTTCCTTAGAACCTTCAAACCATGGGTTAAAAGAAATTCAGCTTAGCATTAGCCATACTTAACACAAGTGTAGGTGTAATAGCTAACTGTTAAAAAGAATCATGGGAGGAGGGAATTCTTACATGAAAGTGAATGGAAGATGTAGTCCTATATGTCAGATAGGATGCAAGCCTTGTTAAAAGTAAACTAACACCACTTCCAGTGTGTCCATTTTTTACTAGACTAAGATTAATATTCCTGTTGTGCACAAATTCAGCAAAACTGGAAAACAGAAATTTTTAAATTTCTTGATAGGTGTAATAGGTGTATTCTAATTGACAATAGAAACTTGGAAAATGTATAAGTGAAAAACCATTTATATTGTATAAGAACTTGCTAATTCGTCTATTCTGTTTTAAATTTCAGGTTACAGCCAAATATGCCATCATGTTTATTACAGTTCAATACAATGTTACCTACACTACAGGTAAGAATAAAGCAAATCTGCTGCATGACTGGGTTAAAAGACTGGTCTTTTAAAACCAAGAGTGGGAACCCTTTTTCGCTTGAGGCCTAAATTGCAAAATAGAAAAATCTGTGGGCCACATTCCATTTGTAGGTGGGTCCAAATGTGATTAATTCTGAATAAGCTTAAAATGATCATAAACAAGACTCCATGTCTCAGCAGCAGTTTCATATAGCATCACGAACATCAACCCTTTACCTGTCTACTTAGAAGTAAGCAAGTTTCCTTCCAGTAGGGCACAATTCAGTTTTATGCAGCATCTCTCCTTCCTGCCAGTGACACAGCTCAAATGCCTGAATTCCTCTTAGGGTATTTAGGGTTAATTTCTTTTAAATATCCTTTTATCTCCAATCAGTGATCACAGGTAACAGCAAAAGAAGCTTGCTGTTAGCTGGGGAACTAGAATTTGGTCTTGCTAATTTGGCCTGCAAGCAAGAGGATCTCCATCTATTAAAAACAGTATCTTGCACCAGTGATATAGAGTGCAATCTGATATGTGTATGCAGAAGTAAGTCCAGTTGCATTTAATGGTATTTCCAGCATAGTCCCTCTATTATACCTCTATGTAAAGCTTTCCCAGTCTGGTACCCTCCAGATATTTTGTGTTGAACTCCCATTAATGACTTTCAGAATTGCCAGTATTCCAGAATTCTATGCATTATATTCCAGAATAAGTGTAGGGACCCAGGTTGAGTAAGGTGGTTCTCTGTGGCACTGCCTGATCCTTTGCACGCTTACTTCAAATTTCACTTGGGCTATAAAACTAATAGGTATTTTAAAAGTACTTGATCAGAGGAATGCAAAGAACAAAAGCATTAGTTTTCTTTTAAACATATTTTGTCTTTGATGATAAATACTATAAGACCTGTTATCCAGTCTAAGAACTTGTTGAAACAAGGTAAGCAACCCTGCTAAACAATTTTTTGTGTGTGTTGTTCTATTGCATAATGAATCTCAAGTGCTCTGTACAGTTGGATATGTTGTAGTAATAATGTATTGTGAATTTCAGATGACAGGCCTGAGCCAGTTCATTTCTATGAATATGGTCCAAAAGATGTGGCCACCATCTTTTTCTACATGCTTATAGCCATTATTCTGCATGCAGTGATTCAGGAATACATACTAGATGTAAGTGTACAATTGTTAGGTGGGTGTGAATGTATTGGATTTACTGTATTTTAGTTCTTTAAGATTCCTTTCTAAAGAAATATGTCTACTATACATTTAGGATATCGGATACTTTTGTTTTGGCCCTGGAACAAGAGTATTCTTCCAGAATTAGCAAGGCCCCTCAGATGGTTATTGTTGCATAATAATTGTTGTTATATTATTATCACCAACTAGCCAATCATGGTTCACTTTTGGAGGACCTTCATGGTCAGACTTCTTTTCCCTTTCTTGCCTTCATTTGCTTGTGGAGCAGAGAGTCCTTTATAAAGTGGTTCAGTTCTTTTCTTAAGATGTCTCAGAAATCTCGAATCTGGCAAATACTAGATTTCAAAAATTGTTTTCAGTGGGAACCATTAAAGGATACTGCATTAGTAGTGCTTGATAGATTTTAGATGTCATTAACTTCACAGGTTTTACCATGTTTCCTCCATAGTTCTGTTTCCTAATTTAACTTGGCAGTTTATTGATAAACATAATTATATCAGAGTACTGCTTCCTCCCATATGAATCTGCCTAGTAGTTAAAATCTTAAGAATCCTTACTTTAGGTGACCCCCAACTCTGGATATTAGGTAGGTGGCAATTGGCATGCTGCAGTTATGAAATATTCTGCCCAGGGATGTTTCTTTGGTCTAGCTTTCCATATTGGCAGAAGGTAACAGTGCTAGCACGCAGGTTGATGACTGGAGGCTGAAGTTGCTGGTCCACCTGTGCATCAGTTTCATAAAGTGAACTACTACAGTGCACATTAGAAATATTTACTGGCACTCTCCCTCCCTTTACCTGGCTAACCTCTAAAAGAGCTCAGTAACTGACCAGTTGTTGCTATTCTGAATCGGCCAAGAAAAATGTTAGTTTTTGTAACCATATGGTATACTTTCTCAGCCACCTTTCCAGAGGAACTTACCTATCTTTTGCAGTCAGGAACCTGCCTAACCTATATGAGATCTGTGCCTGCACTCTTCATTTGTGCACTGCCCCTACCTTCCTTACCATATTAAGACTGAAGACTTTCTAGGTTAATTAACCATAGTTTCCAGTTATGCTTGAACCTAGTAACTAGAGTTTTCCTGGATCTGAAATAGACTTCAAACTGTTGCTTACATACTTGGTTTGTTTCAAACGTGATAGCCTACCCTGTGGTTTATTTAATTTATTGAGTTAATTTATATACTGGCTTTCTGCACAAAATGATGCTCAAAGCAGCTCAAAGTGAATTAATTAATCCAAGTGGGTTCAGTTATGGCAAATAGAGAAGGAGCAGCATAAGAATAGTGCCCAGTTACAAGACTTGTGTACATATCATCTTAAACTGACAGACATACTTGTTGTGTATAGGGTAGATATGTTATGGAACACATCAATACTGTGGACGTGGCCAGTAGCAAAAACTAAGGACTAATTTCCCAGTTTGGAACACTGAGGCATTGGAATATAGAAGTTGAAGATAACAAAACTGGTATCATTGGTATATTAGATTAGCCTCTTGAACAGAGGTATTGCAGTAAGCACAGAAATGTTGACTTCTGAATTTCTGCAAATTATTACCCATGTTTTGTTTTTTATTTTCTAGAAAATTAATAGACGTCTGCACTTGTCAAAAACAAAACATAGCAAATTCAACGAATCAGGGCAACTAGCATTTTTCTACTTGTGTTCATTTGTATGGGGAGCAAGTATTTTGTCTGCAGTAAGTAAGTCAAGCTATTTTTCTCAAATTGAAATTGAATGTACATTAGGCCAACTATATCACCGATTTTTTAACTTTGTTTTTTCCTCTTAGGAAGAATTTACAACAAACCCAACTTTGTTGTGGAAAGATTATCCACATTCTCATATGTTGTAAGTCTTACTCTCTTTTTCCTTTGTTTTGGTGTGTCTTGTTTGCTGCTTCAGATTTCTGATATCTATTTAAATAAAGCCTTGAATGTCTACTTCTTAAATAGTTCTTACTTAAATTTTATATCCTGCACTATAAGTGGTCCTGAAAAGTTGTAGAAGAATTACCATGTTTAGACCAGTTGTTGCCTAGTCTACAGAAGAATGCTTCATGAAGGTATGCAAGCAGATATGACAGAGAGACACATCGCTTCTGGTTCATTCCCAGGTATCTGGGTATCAGGAAGGCACTCTCTTTGAATGTGGACAAAATTCTGAATGGCATGGCTGATAACTTTCAGTGATTGTCGTTTTAGGCATGTGTAAGTTCATCTTAACCAACTATTTATAGTAGTTGTCATCAGAATACCTGTGGCAGTGGGTTCCACCCATTGATAACAAGTTGTTTGCAGAAATAATTTTCTCTTTCTTAGATCTGTTGCCTATAACTTTCAGCAGCATGCATGGGTTTTTGTATTCTTGGAATCAATAACCCTTCCCACTGATTATATTTAAATGCCCTGATAGTTTATACATGCCTTCATGAGAAATTCTGACAATTCTAGCTGCACTTCCCCAGCTTTATTGTACTTTTTGATGTGGAAACATGATTTTCAGATCAGAATATGGACTTGGCATAGATTTAAAATGTTATATATATTGATGGGTTTACTAATGATTAATATTGGCTGAGTTCACACCTATGATGATTGCCACCCTGGCAATAGGGCACAGTGGCCTGTTTTCCAACAATCAGGTTCATTGTGAGTACTACTTCACTCTGTCTCCCTGCTCATTCCTCTTCACTGTGGGTGTCCCCTTGAATGTCCGTAGAGAAGTGAGTCTTTTGTGACAACAGCTGTCAAGAGTCCCCACAGTGCAATAAGTTCAACTTTCCGTCTTTGTGCTGGACAGGCTGTGAGTATTTACATAGCCAAGACTGAATGCGGAACAGGGCAAGAGCCCCGTTTGTCTACAGGGGCAAAGAAGAATTTTAGAAATATTTTCCTTGTTCCTCTAGTGCAAACAGGGCTCCTGCTCCTTGAAGCACAGCAGGGAAGAAGGGGGAGGAGAAGATGAGGATGCCCAATATACATGGTAACACCAACTTGAACGCAGGGCAACCCCTAACTCCTGCCCAAGTGGACTGTTCTTGGGCAGGAGTTGAGGAGCCTGATCTGTCTGGCAACAGTGCTATCTGGAGGGAAAGGCTGGGGTACTCAATTTATTCCACACCAAAAGTGGGACAACACTGCAGAATAGATTGCTGGTCCCTGCCTCTGAGTGAGACCACACCCACCAGTCAAGGAGGAGTAGTTTCCAGCTGGAAAGAGCAGATCTCAAGCCTTTGACAATGATACCTGCTCTGTTCCCCAAGAGGTAGGGAAAAGCTTCTGATAGTTGTATCCAAATATTTCTTGAGTGCTTTGGAGGCTGCTACCAGGGATACTCACTTGGTGTCCATTTTTCAAAAGTGGCAAGGGATTTTTGCTTATCTTGTCAGCTGGATGGCTGCCTGTTGGGCACAGCCTTGGTGGGTTTTGTCATCCTGGTTTGAATGATGTGAGAACCCACCATAGGTGACAAGAACCCTAGTGTAGCCCAGACATTAGGACAGCTTGTTTGAAAAACAGCATTGAAGAGGAGACCCTGATCATAGGACACAACAGCCTACCCACAAAAACAAGGTTAGGTTGTTGTGTCATCAGAACCAGGTCATTGAGTTTGACTTGGAAAATAGAACTGATGTTCAAGATCTTTCCTGATAACAGTCTGTTCAGACACATATGTGTGAAGATGACAGACGTTACTCTACATTAGCTTGGAGCCCTTCACAGTATTTTTTGATTTTATTGTCTGGCAATTCAAATAGTTTCTAATGATGTCTGGTCAATGCTATGACAGCTCCAGCTTTAATTCCTGACCTTTCTTCACTACCATCACATCCCAATTCCTTTGGGATGAAAACTTTTATCTACTTTTATCCTGTAAAAGATGAACACTTTTATCCAGTAGTGTCTATGTTTTCTTGGGAACCATTGAAAAGTTTTGCTAACAAAGCAGCAACTGCTTTTTTTGCTGTAAATAGCTGATGGACTGCATTTGCTGTCCTTGGTTTTCATACATAATTAAAATATTAGTTTGGAGGATATTTTTAAATAAAAGGCAGTGCTGAAGCTGAATACTGAGTATATTGCAATTTACTTAACACAAAAATTGTGGTTGTTATGTTCTTCCGCTATTGGCAGAAAATCAGTCTAGCCATATCTGATGCACAGTTAAGGAGCTCAGAGTCCCTCTACTCATAGAGCACCCCTAAACCAGTGGTTTTCAACCACCAGTCCGAAGACTAGTTCGACGGTAGGCCAGTCCCTGAAAGAGCTGCTTGCATGCATGCGCATGACAGTGGCATCTCATTCACCAGGACCAGTGTGAGGCTAGCTGTGCTTTCACTGCCAGTTCCCTACCCTTTCCCTGGCTAGGGAGGGGAGAGCCAGCTGAATAGGAGCTAGCTGGGAGCCTTGCCCTGCCTTGCTCTGGGCAGGCCCCTGAAGACCCGGCCTCTTTTTCTGCTCTGTTTTCTACTGGAAAGGAAGATGCTGAGGTGGGATTGTGCTGAGAGTGTTTTCTAAGCCAGTCTGTGCTGGTGTGTATGGGGGTTTGAGTGGCTGGTGTTCATTGAATTTTGTTGTTTAACATTATGAATATTATTGTATTAAGTAACTGTTTGATTTTGTATTGCTTTGCTGTTAATATTGTATTTGAATTTGTATTTACTATGAGCATAGTAGTGTATTTATATTGATTTTGTATTTGGTATTGTAAATTTTTGAGCAAGGATTCTTGAAAAGCAACAGCAGATTTTGCAGTAGCTTTAATTGAATTAAATATTGCGCTCTAAAAATTTCAGTTGTATTCAATTACAGTTAATTTCAATATTTTATTCTTACTCAATATTTTTACTCCTCAGTTTCTGGTTATTTTAGATATTTTTCTTTTTTGTACTATATTTAAAAAATAATTCACAAAACACTATATTATGTATATAATGCTTTTTACTTCTGCCTCATCAGTCCCCAAAATGATTTTCCTATTTTTGCCAGTCCCTAACTGTAAAAAGGTTGAAAACCACTGCCCCAACCAGCAGCCAAGGAACCATTTATGTATGTACGTATGTATTTATTTTGCTAAGAAGCAGGACTAAGTGCTTGGGCCAACCAGCCCTGCCTTCTTTCTTGGACCTGTGAGAGGGCAGGAATTGTGAAGTTACTGAGATGGTTCCTGCCAACCTCTACAGCTTCAAATTTGGGAGGAATGTTTGTCATTTGTGGTTAGTGTAGCAAGTGCAATTGCTGAATGCTGTATATGTACTATTTTTATGGATGTTAATGACTTTGTTCTTTTACTTCTAGTTTTCAGGTTAAATTCTTCTATATCTGCCAAATTGCCTATTGGCTGCACACACTGCCAGAACTCTACTTCCAAAAAATAAGAAAGGTACTCACTTGTAACATCAGTTCAGTCATTTTATTTATTTATATGTGTGTGTGTGTATATATATCATTTGATTTATATTTCAAACATTAAAATTAATAATAGACCCCCAAACAAACTAGATATTGGGTATTTTATGGAAGGCAAAGGCTAAGAATAATAGGGAAGTGACAAATATATTCCATCCCAATCCAACTAGCAAATAGTAGGGCAGGTTTAATGATGTGGGATATTCCCCTTGCTTACAGGTTGGATAATTAATTCAGCTTCAATTATTATTCATTAATTCTCTGTTTTTGTGGGCAAAACTTGAATAGAAAAATGCTTCAAACAGGAAAACAATTCATAGGCAAAAGAAAGATCAAGGAAAGCTGGCATATCTTATGCTAAGCTTTTTGTGTTTAAATTGTAACATGTATGTTTTGTTTCTCTGTGTAATTCTAGGAAGATATTCCAAGACAATTACAGTATATTTGCCTTTATATTTCCCACATATCTGGTGCCTACATTTTGAAGTAAGTATTTGTAAAATTACTTTGATTTGTGTAGTATGCAAAGTGCTGTTTAATAAATGCAACATTTGTCCTTTTTATAACCTTGTACTGTATTGTATTTAGTATTTTCGAGTTGTATTTAGTATTTTCATGTTACAGATGGGTAAGCTATGGCCACCCAGTTTGATCATACCTGAGCAAACATTTGAATATACTCATGATAAAGTAACCTAAGTAACTCTTTATCTGCCGTAACTAGACTATATTGGGCTTTGTTGCTGATGAGCTTGTTTAGTGAATTAATTTACTGAAGGAAATAATTCTTTTTAATATTCCAGTCTTCAGCGTTTGGGTCTAATTTTGCTGGTACCTCATTACCTTGTGGAACTTATTTTTCATGCCTCACGACTTTTCTACTTCAGTGATGAGAATAAGCAGAAAGGGTAATGTTGCTTTTTATTATTTTTAATATTTTCAAAACTTGAAAATGTCATTTGTTTGGAGGCTAGGATATTTAAAGTACCGAATGTACCTACAATAACCTGCCTGGCACCCAAGATTGGCCTTGGATGCCTGCTCTTTAGTCTGCTATCAGGAAGGATCAAAATGGTTTCTGTAAGGTACAGGTCCTTCTTTGTTCTGGAATTTCTGGATTTTTTCCCATTTATTGGCATTAAGCCTTTTTGAAAGACTTATTTGTATTCTTTTTTTTCTTCTCATTAATCTTAATGCTGGCTACTTGTTTTACATACTTTACAATTTTTCTTTTTTAAATAGGTTTTTTTTGCTTTTTCAGTTACAATTTTTAAGTTGCTTTATGAAATTCAAAGGCAAAGTAAAACTGATTTATAGTGCATTCTATACATGTTCAACTGGGACATACTGGGAGCTATAGGATTTTTTTCTGTCAAACATGTACTATTAACCTAGGATACAACTTAGTGCATGTTTTCCCTGGCTGGATGAGGAATGTTGGGTTGTAGGATTTTTTTCCTGTTTAAACATGCATAGGATTGCTCCCTAAGCTTGAAATCATATGTACACTTATGTTGGAGTAAGCTCCACTGAAGTCAGTGGGATTATGTCTAAGGAAATGTATGTAGGCTTTTCAAGCTCTGCAGTCATACGTATACTGCTACAAGAACACTAGGTTTGTGATCAACCTATATAGCTAAAGAATATAAGTGAGATTGTGATGTCTTTTCTTTCCAGCATTACTTCCCTACTATATTTCCACTGCGCACATTATCATGTGTAGCTCTGTTTTAGAAAATTAGAAGTGGTATCCCCTAAAAATCTTGCATGCACAATGACAATGTTAAAAAAAACCAGCTTCCTTAAAGGGGGGGGGGGGTTGTTTGTGTGTGTGTGTTATTTTACAACATTCAATAAGGTATTTTTTGCTCTTTCTTTTCTTTCCTCCTTTTCTTTAGTTTTTTGAAAGTGGTTGTTTCATGTCATGCTTATTACCTAATGTTTTAATTATTGTATTCTTGTATTGTGTTTCTGGGTTTTAATTGTAATTGTTATTATGCTGTATTTATTTCTGTAAGCCATCCCAAGGCTGTGTAGCAAGGGGGCGGCAAATAAAAACTTTAAATAAATACATACATACATACATACATACATACATACATACTCAAGCTTCATACAGGCATAGAATCTTAACATAAAATTTAAAACTGAGATGTGTTTTCAGACACTCATACTATTTTTTTAAAATAACTTGATTCCTTGTAATTCCAAGTTTCAAAAGTAATAGGACTCTAAAGTCTGAATTCATGGATTGCCACTAACAATGGACAATAAATGTATAAATAGAAGAGTGGTCACAATTGCAGTTTGAGGAAGATGGTAGTATTCAAGAAATTCTCACTGCATTGTATTGCTTACCATAATTAGCCAAATCACAGTTTACAACTTTGGTTAGAAGGGGTGCACAAATGTGTTTTTTGTACAAATATCTAACCATTATTTGTTCCAAAACTAAAAGGAAAGGCAGAATGCTTGTTGTGAGATGAGCATGCAATTCTCGATTATCTTCATTTGTAAAAGTGCTTATGTGTGACATGGTTGGTTTGTGCCACTTTGAACAGTTAATGAAGTGTCTTTAGGTTATGGGCCGGCATAGAAACAGAATGCATACATACATTTATGTTGAAAGTGGCTAGCAATAAATTGACCAGGTTTGCTTGTGACAACCCCCAAAGTATAGGCTTGTTGACTCATAGGTTCTTGTTACATGCAAAATATGCACAAAGGTTTAACTATGGGTTGTGAACTACAAACAACCCAGACAAGGGTCCACAATCAAACAACAAACCATGGATTCCCTTTCTGGGTTGTTTGTGGTTAATAATCCATATTTCAACCATAGTACAAGGTTTGCACATAATGATAACCCACAATTCAACAATAACCTATTACTTTGGATTGTTCTAACATCCAAACCAGGCCTCTCTGGAAAGATAAAAATGCTTCTATATAACAGATGCATTCCAGATAGCTTTTCTGGATGACCAGCATTAACTGCTAAAATAGTAGTATTTTAAATCTGGGAATTTAGGATGTTTGTGAAACAACTGATATAATAATACTTAATGTGTTTGCTTCCTCTCCCAGATTTACCTTGTGGGCTCTACTGTTTGTCATGGCTCGTCTTCTAACCCTAACATTGTCAGTCTTGACATTTGGATTTGGTCTGGCAACAGCAGAAAATCCTGGCTTTTCAATAGCAGAAGGAAACTTTAATATACTGACTATTAGGTATAATTAATTTAATCACATGATTCTTTCAGAATGGACTTTTGGATTTAAAGACTTAGATGTTACCAGAAAAACTTTATTGATAAAAAGAAATGTTAATACATTGAAAGTGTAACTTGCATCTTGGACAAATGGTGGATTGTCCTTTCCGAAATCTATTTTCATTATATTCCAAGATGTATTAAATATAACAAGAATTAGTTCAAGGATTTTGGTTTTTGTTATGTATAGTAGCCAGTAATACAGGCTTGGGCATTTTATACTTCTTAAAAAGTAACATCTGATTAATGTTTAGAACTGCAACAATAATGTAGATAACTATTTTTTAAATTTGAAATTCATTAGAATTAGCTGTCTGGCTGCAATTTGTTTGACCCAAGCTTGGATGATGTGGAAATTCATCAATTTTCAGTTAAAGAAATGGAGAGAACATATACAGAATCAGATTCCCAAGAAAAAAACAAATATAAAGGTTAAATCAACAAAAAAGGAATCATGCAGACGTAAGTATAGCATTTACAGTATTAGAACTGCAAGAGGGAAATGCACTGTGTCTGATTTATATTATTTTGGTGTGTGTGTACACATAGTCTGGTATAATGTTGTGGTTCACAATGAAATTTGTGCAGCCTATTCATATTAGTATAGCAACTATAATGCAGGGAAGAGGCAGATCACTCTTATTTGACATTTGAACTGCTCACAGGCAGAGGGATTTTGAAATTAGACTGAGGGCAGTATGTCGCAAAATTACTCAGATGCCATATTGTAAGTTAGAAAAGGTCCCCCGTGTAGAAATGGGTGCAAGCATTCATTAACTTTCTGCATCTGTTGTATATGCTGTGCAAAGTATATTGACCAGAGAATATGCATACTGTCCAAAGAATGTACAAAATGCAGTTGAGATATGCACATTCTTCAAGGTCTATTGGAAGTTGTGCATATTGGCTGCAGAATACAGAGTTTTCTTATGAACATATAAGTATATTGTGTAAGTGTGGTAAATGTGCACAGTCTTTCAACTGACATTACCCTTAGCATCCATTATATAATATCTGATGTTCTATTTGTCTTTTTTTTGTACTACAGCTAACTTTGTCAATGGAGCAGTCAAATTTGAAGAGGGCATGTCACCTAGAAAAAGAAAATCAAAATTTTTGTGAGGAGTAGTGGACAATGATTTGACAGAGGACTTTGATCATTAAGTTCCATCATGACACAGAGAGACTGTCTGACTGCTTTGGCTAGAAGATGTCATTTAAAAGAATATATTTTTAAACTTCTGTTCATCAAAACAAAACTTATGACAACCATATTTCATCATGAGTTTAGCTTATTTAACATTATGGTACAGACTCAACAGTTTTAGTTTTTGAAAATGAAATTTGTTGTATCCTCACATGTATGTACGATGCTGCAATATTAGGGGAACATGGAAGGCTTATAAACCACATCTCTGTTTGAAACATCAAAATATAACATTTCAATTTATGGGTAGATTTTTTAGAAACCTTAATTTCTGGACATACAGCTAAACATTATTTTTCTTTTTGTGTAAAACTTTTTGATATATTACTGTTCTCTTCATTATACTGCCTGATTATGTCTCTTACTGAAGAGGCAATTTAGTGTCATCCCCCTCCCCCCAATTTTAAACATTTGCCAGGTTCTGATATGTATTTGGTTAAAGCCAATATTTATGGACTGATGAAGTTGATCATCTCTGAAAACAGTTTAACATAGGCTATGATGTGCATTTGAAGAATGACTGACAAGGCCAGATTTTGCAGAATTTATCTCCTGATCAAATATGAGACCCCAAATAATTTGTTTTATATACATGGCTTCTGAAGACTTTTAAGGAAAGTTTTGAAATATTTTAAAATTGTGCTTAAAAGTTTGCTTTATTTTGGTGTAGGGATCTATGAAACTGATAATAGTTGATATCTCTCAACATGAATATTTAACACGCATAGCTGCAAATGACTTTCCCAGTATAAAGTCAACTTTTGGCAGTTTATGGTATAACAACAATAGTGAGGTATTTCTTGTCATACAACAACAATAATAAATAGTACTACTACCTGGTGCTTTAATGTAATTTCTGCCCATTTCTTTCATTACAGCAAAAGCTTGTAATTTCAAAACAAATTTAACTATAGTTGAGGTGCATAATTACTAAATAGCACTATTGTGTGCTGAAATACTATTTTATCTATATTCTGAATTATTGTTTTTGGAAAACAGCAGACACTTTAAGACAATATTGGCTGGGATTCAGAACTAGCTGCTTGCATTTGTCCTGTAATTTTCTTCATATTTTTGAACTGCTGATTTCTGTGTCATGCCAAAAATCGTGTGTTCTAAAGTCCTTTCAGTTACAATTCGCCATGCAGCATAGCAGAAAGACTAAAGAATCTCCTGGGGAACTGAGAGGACACATGGAATAAACAAATACACTGCTGAAACTTTATTCTAATCTCAGAAGGGAAAATTAATTCTAAAGTTGGACAGTTGGATCCAGTTTGCATGCAACAAATAATCCCCAGTGTCTTAACTGGCATGCTTTGGCATGTGTGGAAATAAAGTTGTTGGCTCCTGATCTCTTGCGCACTTTCATTCCACTTGGTGAACTGTTCCTGGATTGTTGTCCATAATGTGTGTGTAAACTCAAACTTTGGAATGTTAAGATAAAACCCAGACTTTTAGCCCATGGTTAACAACCTAGGAATGGGATCACTTGGTTGTATAAAAAAATGGAAGCAGATGAACGGTCAGGAGCCAGCATGCTTTGCTGACTCACTCCCATGTTCTTGGTATTGGGCAGTTTAGAAGTGTAATAAACCATGGTTGTCTGTACTGTGTGAACTGGTTCATAATGCCTTTTTTCTCACACTGTTTCTAGCTAGTTATAGAACAAAAGATAAATGGGTTGGTTGTAGGGTTTAACTCCCTTTTGTTTGGATTGTCTAAAAGCTTTAACATTGATCAGTTCTGTAAATAGGCCATGCTGATGGATGCTATCACAAAAGCTGAAGTTTGTAAGGATGTAATGCTGTACATGTTTATAGCGAGCCTAAATATACGTAAGATTTCATCTTAAGGACATTACAGAGCAGACTTCCTGAACTTAGTTCTCTCCAACTATCTTGATCTTTAATTGCCATCAGCCAGTGGCTCAAAAATACTGGAAGTTGTTCAAAACACCCAAAGGTCCTCAGGTCGGGGAAGGCCGTTATAGGGGTTCAATCACTATTAAAACTCTCAGTTACAGAAGTTCTGGTTTGAATCCTAGCAGCTTGATAGTGACATCTACAGGCATTGCAAAACTATTCCAGCATTTCTATGTCAGATTTCCGTAAATCAGTGGAGCTCTCCTAATGCTACACTTAGTAAAGAAGCTTATATAAGAGCTCTGTTATTATTGAAACAACTTCATATAAAATTAACCTAGGGGACAGTGCATCCAAATCCCTCAGTAGGTAGACAATAGAAGAGTCCCCCTTAACCCACAGAGAATAAGGGAGCAAGAACGGCTGGGTTTGGACAACATCCTGGCTCTTTGTGGATTATTTAACCTATGATGAGCTTGGTGCTTGCAGGTGGCAATTTGCATAGTCAGCCTCCACTTAGGACTCAAGTAAATGTGAGTTATATAAGGGTTAAACAATCCTTGTATAACACTGAAACAGACTATGGCATGATCCACACTGGCCAGGTTTGTACAACATAGCAACTCCTATGAGAGTTGGCATATTACAAAGGGTGGCCACGCAGAACACAGCCATGTGTTGTGTTATGTAAACAGCCATTCTACATGTCTGCATGCTTCACCATCTTAAATTGCATATGTTAGCTAAGGTAAGTTATGTTTTTCATTTTCATGAAAATTGTTACTAAAAAAAGTTAGCCACTGAAGTGCTAAACATCAGGAAAACAGTACAGGTCTTTGGCAAAATGTTAATGACTAGTTGAGAAAACAAGATAGTTGCCTCTCAATCTTGTGGTAAAATTATACCTGACCAAAATCCTGTGATAAACAAGTGACCTATATCATTCTTTATTTCTCCTTACCATTCAATCACAAGTATTTAGATATTGCTACATAGGAAAAATCATTCTTTTGATATGAGAAACAAGATTTTTTTGTATGTTATTTTGTTCTATAATTTGTATGCAAAATGTTATTCAGGATTTGATCCTATTTTACTCATTTGCCAACCTGTTCCTCTGTGCAAACTAAGTGGAATTTTGTCTGTGATGTTTCATAATCCTGTATATTTCTACTGAATATGTTTTACCATGGAACTAGAATATATTTTTTTATTGTTTCAATAAACTTTTGTTTGTATTATTATTGCCTCGTTTGATAAAAGCATCATTTTCTGAGCAGCTTTGTTGAAAACATTTTATGATTTAGTTTTCAGCTGTACTGCTCACAAAGCAATGCTTTCTCTGATCTGCATGCTTATGGTACTGGGCAGTTCTCTGAGGAGGCCAAAGGCCAGTTACACCTATTTCATCATCAGGATAGTAGCTGTGGATGCTGTGGGATTACAGGTTGAAGTTTGTATTGTCTAAACTGTATGTGATAATTTCAAACAATTTCCCAAAATAGAATGTTAACATAATAAATGAAATGTGCCAGAAAATGAAAAGTTTTCATGACAAGGGAATGATAATGGACTTTGGATTTGTGGCATTTGTTCACTAGTCCAGGTTTAGAACTGCATTACATATCCATGGGAGATAATAGTTCAATTACTCATTGTTACCAGAATTACATTCTGAACATACACTACACATTTTAATTTATTCCCTTTTTATTTCTGACAGGTGATCTCAAGTATTTTAAATGTATGTTAATGTCCTTGAAATGCAAGTATTTTGTGTATAGATACTTGTATGTGTGTACACCTGATTTCTGTGGACTGGAAGAAAAAAAATCTGTACTTTTGCAGCATGAGAGGAACTTAAATTGAATACCATACTGTCCTGTGTCATTGCACTGCACTGATTGATGTTTTATGTACTATCAAATGCATTAAATAAAAGGTGGTCATGTGCCTTAGGTTAATTCTGATGAACTTTAAACAGTTTTTGAAAAACTGATGGTGTGTATGGAGGTGTTTTTGTTTTGTAATAGGTGGTTTGACATTAATGATTCAAAAGTAAAAATGAGGGTAGGTGGCGTCACCTTAAATCCATGCTTAGTATTTAGGACCTTCTGGTTTTGAATGAAATTATTTTAGTTACTTGGAGTCGATAGGTTTTTCTACACGCAGGTATTATTGTAGTTCTCAGAAATGAATTGTTACAAAGTGGAGCGACCAATCAGTCCTGGACATTCCTAAGATGTGCATGAATAGCCCAGATGTTCATGAATACATAGGACTAGACCTATGATAGATGCTATTGTTTTTAAAGATGTGAGGGGCCATAGCATGGGGAAAATGAGTTCTGAATGTAGAAGATTCTACTAGCATCTCAGAAAAAGTCAAACCACATTGCTATAGAATTCCTGCTCTGCCATTATTAGAAAGCTTTGCACTCACGCATGGAATATAATTCTATGCATTTCTGTTTGAAAATAAACCTGAAGTCAATCAGAATTTACTCACTAGTTGAGAGCATGATCTGGAAAATTCAGAATACTTCAGAAATCTTTTTGAAGTTGAGTAGGACTTGGACTAGTCACTGCGTGGCTGAGGGACTAAGTGGAAAACCTATATCCAGATTTGAAATTCCACAGAAGGCAAGATATAATGAAGTATGTGGACAAATACAGTCTTATAAAGGGAACATAAATAGCTTTCTTTCCATACCCTAAATGTTATGATCTTGCTTCTTTCAAGTGAATATATTTTAAAATTGAAGGGTGTTTTCCCTATTTTGAAAAACAGGTATATGTTTCTATTTTGACTGCTGCCCATATTTTTATATAAAACATGTTTTCATTTTCCTTGTGGCCAAACTTATCTGAGACACACATGTGAGAGAGGATCCTAAGCATAATTCTTCAGAAGTAAATGGGAGTAGTTAATATCCAAATATTTTTTGGGAATTAAATGTTACCTTTGCTGAAATATATACAACTGCATAAAAACTTAATACAAGGTTAATTTAATACTTTTCACAATGGCCAGTGGGACATAAATACTCTAGAACAGATATTTCCATAGGCAACTCTTGTGGTTGCTAACATCTTAGTGTGCCAACAGTTTTATCAGAGTCTCCCTACAAATTTAATAGAAGAAAGCAGTTTTTTCTTTTAACCTTTTGTTGTTCTTAGTTGTGAAGTCGCGTCCAATCCATCGCGACCCCATGGACTACATTCCTCCAGGCCTTCCTGTCCTCCACTATCCCCTGGAGTCCACTTAAGCTACAGGATTCCAATAATTTATATTCAGTAACATCAAAAATAGATGTGAAATCACTTGTGCAGTGAGTGACTTCAACATGGACTAATTTCAGCTTTGTTTACTAAACACAAGGGGCAATATGCAATGCTGTCACAGCAGCAGTGCTAATGTCATTGCACCAATGTAGCACTAGCAAAATATGTTAACACTGCTAAGTAAAATGGGAGAGAGCACTGGAATTTTCTCTTTTTCCCTTTGCTTAGAACAGGGCAGTCCAACTTTTCATATCTTGAGGGCCACATGAGGACTTCAACACTGAACCCAGGGACCACACAATGAATTATATTTCCATATTATAGTGTTTGCAATACATTTAAGAAACACAATATATTTTATTAACCATTAAATGAGGGAGAGCACTGACTGTCTTCCTCTACAAGTTCAAAGACACAGAACTGCATGCTGGAAAACAGGTTCAGACTGAAAAGAGATACATGTAGAGGTTACAGGTAGCTCCTCTGACCACAGCCCAAGCACAATGACTGCTCCCGGGGGGGCAAGAGGGCTGCAAAACAAGGTTTTGGGGACCACATGCGGCCTGTGAGACCTCCCTGGCCTAACACTAACAACATTATGCTACTGTGGGTTTGTACTAGCACTGGGATGGCATTGGATTCTGCCCATGGGAAACATGTGAAATTATAGCACTCTCAGGGCCAGCAGAACACTTACAGTGCAAATCACCTTAAATTTGCCCAATCCAGTAAAAAAGGGAGTTGCATTTTCCAATGTAAAATTTTCCAGAAAACCACCATCACTATGCCTATGTAAAATGTTTATTGCAATCCATTATATCTCACTCTTCAGACAGTTTACACAAATACAGCAATGGCATAATCTCGAGAGAAAACTATCACTGATCCAAACTTAGCACACAGGGAACAATTGGGTACATCATAGTTTGTGATCTAGTCCAGCACACTGTACACACAGCAGTGAACCAGCCACCACAGGATAGCTCAAGCAGGATCAGTACAAGACTTCTGCCTACCCAAGCTTTTCAGCAACTGGTGTATGTATGCACAGCACCTTGGTAAAGGAGGTAGCACATTGCCAGCAAGGCTAGTGGCCACTGACAGCGTCCTCCTCCATGAATCTGTCCATCCCTCTTCTAAAGCCATCCAAGTTGTCAGCTATCACCACTTACCATGGCAGCAAATTCCACTTTATACAGTGTGTGAAGTACTGTATATACTTGCATATAATATCAAAGTCAATATTTTGGGCTATTTTTCTGGTGTTCGTCATATGTGAGGTATAGAAGATGGCCTCCAATTATTGCTTCACTATTTTAGCTTTCAAAGGTTGTTTTATATGCTGGTATATATGGTACTGCTTTTTATCTGTCCTAACCTTCCGCCAATCAGCTTTATGAGATGACCCTGGGTTCTAATATTATAGAAGACTGAGAAAAATGTCTCTCCATATTTTCTACATCATGGATGTGTCTTTACACATCTTTCATGTCTCACCTTACTCACCTTTTTTTCCAAGCTAAACAGTCCCAGTTGTTGTAGCCCTTCCTCTGTGGCTCCAGCCACCTGATCATTTTTATTGTCCTTCTCTGTATTTTTCCAACTCAATGTCCTTATTCTATTCTAAGTGTGGTGGTACCAAAGATTAGTATAAGGGCAGTAAGACTTTGGCAATTCTATTTTTTTACTCCATTTCTAATTATGCCTAGCGTGGAGTTTGCCTTTTTCGCAACAGCTGGGTACTGGGCCAACGTTTTCATCTAGCTGTCTGCCACTAACCAATGACCCCTTTCTTGCTGAGTTACTGCTAGCTCAGATCCCATCTGCCTATACTTGAAGTTGGGAATTTTTTGTCCCAGCATGCATTACTTTACAACTTAGACATGGCTTTTTATCAGGAGTGGGGAACATACAATCGCCCCATGGCACTTTTTGTGGACCTCGCTTCAACCACTATGGAAAAGACAGGCGTTTTTGCAAGAAAATTATTTTGCACACAAGTGCTACTGATCCACATATGTTCTAAAGAAATGTGTGTCGGTCCGTCCGTCTTTGAAAGATCGTGTCTCCGCAGAACACCCCTATTTGTAAACAAGGCATATAGCGACAGAGGAGAGGAAGGCTTTCAATTTCAGTAAAAAACCTCAGACAGAAAGATTCAAGCGCAGGGAGTAGTGGAGAGCAGGAAGCGAACTGCATGTGAGCCGAAGGCCAGCGCATCCGGGGAGACAGATGCAAGGACCCGGCAGCGTTATTTCAGCATGCACCCGTGCAGGGCGGCTGGCGCGGCATGCGGCTTCCCAGAGAGTCGAGGCTCCAGTCTTAGTAAGCAGCCACTCGGCCCGCCTGCGAACAGTTTCTACGCCCAGATCCCCCCCTCCCATGGAAGGTCGGGGTGCGTACGGGCCGTAGGGCGGGATCGCGTCTGCAGAGTTCGCACCCTTGTCCATCATTTTGCCGTTGCCTTGGTAGCCGAGTGTACAAGGGCGGGGTGAAGTCCCGGGAGTAGCCAACTTGACTCCGCCCTTGATCTCCGGGCTGAAAACATTTCGTTCATGGACGTGGGATAGGAAAGTCAGGTCGCCTCGCCCCTCCAATCAGCCCGGCTCTTCAGTGAGAAGGGTCCCGGTTCCCTTACTGTCGTGATTGCGCCTGCTGCTGCTGCTGGCTTGCAACTCCTGAGACCCACTGGGTATTGGACGGGGTAAAAAATTACCCAAACAAATAAATAAATCTTCCATCATCCCTCATCATTGGTTATACTAATTACGACTGTTGGGAGTTGTAGGCTAAAAACGAGGCCGAGCCACAAAAGGCCCACCACAGTGCTACGGATTTTTTTTTAACTGTCCCACGCAGTCGCAGTCCGACCTTCACTTCCTGCCTGAGGTTGAACCCGTTTTCCGCTCTGAACTTCCAATGCAAAGGATTGAAAGATTTAATCATAGAAGAACCAAAGGATAGACCGACACAATAGGGAATTAGATTCAAGGGCGGATTTTGTGCTTATTCGCCGGAAGTTCAGACTGTACGCGGCTGCAGCTTTCCTTTGTGGATGGGTTGCTTCTCCTGGTGGGCAGGAGAGCGGCTGTGAAAAGCCTCTGGCTTTTGAAGTTTGATAAGGAGTGGAGGTTTGAGTTGCCGTACTTCCTTCTTTCAGGCATTTTTGGGGTCCGTTTTGTGTGTGCTGTTGTAGAATTCGCCTTTTCCAAAGGTGGCTTATGTTAGCACTTAAAATCAGTGTAAATTAATAAACATGCACAGGTTTAGAAATAAAGCAATTAAGAAAAAATCGAGGTTGCAGTGTAAAAGTGTCTGTGCAGGAATCTTGAAGGACAGTTCTAAAAATAATTATATTCTAGAAGGAATCTCTCGCTTGGTACTTTGAAGAGAAGAGTAAACGTTAGGAGTTGCATAAAAGTACTAATTTCCGGTTGATGTAAAAACCTCGTTGTTGTGGCTTCTTAAGGAATTGCCTCCACAGTGATCTATAAAGCATTTAGTAACATTCAATGATGGATCCTTTTTGTGAGTGTCTTAACATATATATCTATGGGGTGTGTGTGTCCAGTTAGGCTTATTTATATATCGACTGCCTGTGTGTAGTATATGTGTCCATTGATTTGACCAAGCATCTGACCATATCTAAAGCTTTGCCCCGAATTCTCCCCCATAATCTGCAATTG